GTATTTTTGACTTTGGTATTGGACCATCTTCTTCAATAGGGCTCCAAGATCTAGTTTGAGTACCATATGTGATAGGAGAGGTAATGGGATTGCTTGCATTATTTGTCGTTTGACTTGTCTCATGTGGAGAGGAGTCATAAAAAATGTCAACCATGATTATAGGGGATGGACTAGACACAAAATGAGAGGGTGAGGGTCCTATAGAGGCTAAGGGAACATTTGTTGATTAAACATTGTGATCATGGATGGGAGGTGATGGCATTCTTGCATAAATGTGAACCTTACGATCTATTAAATTGTTAAATGAGAGATATATTATACTATATATTGGTTTGCTACCCCAATGGTCAAATTACATTCTAAGCAGACAAAGAGGGCAAGAAGGAAGAATTAATGCAAAGTCCAAAATAACTACTCTAATAATAAATTGCATATCTATTTTGAGCACAAAAATATGACTATACGTCTATACCTCAATAAGTTAATAAATTTCAGGCATTGAACCGAGCCCTATAATCAAATCAATGCTTCTTATTACAATCCTTTAGCTACATATGTTCAACTGATAATAGGTATTGATGTCACACAATCTGGATGCTCCCTCGTGTACTGTGATGTGGATTCTGACTGGATGTCAAATTGGTTGGCTGAGTTGTGAAGGTTGAGCTAATGTTTGAGTGTCCGAGCTAATGTGTGTTGCAAGGAATGGAAGATGAGAGTGCCCGGGTGTCTTTTACCCGGGAAGGGCACTCCGATGCTTAAGTTAGTAGATGTTTAAGAAGATATCTGAAAGAGTGAGAGAGCTCTAGAAGTTTAGTTGGCATACCTTTCTAGGTGAATCTGGGTGCCTTATATAGGTCCTTGGACTCAGGTGGCCAAGGTAACGGTCTTGAGCTCTTTGGGGAGCCATTTCCTTCTTTTCTGGCACGTTAATGTGTCAGTTGCGAGATCCTCGCGGGGGTTACAATCTGTCTAAGTAAAGTCGAGGCACGCGACATGGTGAGCCGTTCTAATGGTCGCGCTATTGGCGCCTTTGTAGTGAACTGTTGAGGACGGTTAGCGAGCTCTTCCTCGTAGGTCGCCTTAGGTCCTCTCATCTCGATCAACTAGTAGAACAGTTCATCGTAATCTTATGGGTCTACCAGCTCGGCCTTACCGAGGTGGAACTATACGGGGTGGTTAGCTAGATCTCCTTAGCAGGCCGCCTTAAGTCCTTACATCTCGATCGACTCCTAGGACAACTCACCATAATCCTACGGGGTCAGCTAGTTCGGTCTTGCCGAGGTAGAGGTCAGCCTGGGTGAGATGCTCTGAGTTAATTTTACTGAGCTAGCTCACTGACTTGGCGCTGAGGTGTCATTTGAGAGTCACGTGTCACTGTATAATTGGGAGGACCAAATTACCCCTCATCAATTTCCCCCCACTCTCGAGCCAACGTTAACTCGGTGAAGAGAGTAACTCTGAGTAAGGGTAATTATTCTGGATGGTTCATAAGTCGCTTGTTTTATTAGCTCGGTCTCAGGCTGGGCAGACCACGGTTTCTTCTCGAACATCAAATTTGGGGAAAGAAGGGAGCGCATACTAGCTAGTGTAGGATGTTGGCGTGTCACTGGCATTTATTACATCTCAGGACCGGCTCGACCGCATTACTTTCATGGTGGGCTAGTAGTACATTTGTTGTAAGGCTTTTCGAGCTAGGGCTCGGCCTCCCAAGTGTCCCCCACAAAGCCCTTCGTGGATCTCGTGTAACACCCGATCTGCCTCAGTTTAGCGTAGGCATTGTAGATATGGTAGAATGAAGGATCTTATATAGAGTTGCTCACCTACTATCACATAGCAAGTTGCTTTCCATTCTATAAGCCAAACTGCATTTCGTTATTTTGGCAATATGCCTTGCTTTAGGTAGTCGAAGATTAGATCTATCCAGCTCGGCTTTGTAGTTGTTATATTGGCGACCTCTTCTGCCCCTTTTTTAATCGATGGGCGAGGTAGCTCTTTTATGTGGACTGTTCTTTTTGTCAAGTCAATCGTGCTCGCCAGCTTGGAGAGGGCATCGACTTCTATGTTTTTCGTTCTCAAAATTTGTTGGAGATATCGAGAATGGAAGCTAGGTAGTTCTCTTACCTTGTCGAAGTAGGTCAACATCGCAGGTTCTCAAGCCTCATACTCACCATTCACTCGGTTTACCACGAAGGAGTCACTACAAACCACAAGATGCTTGGCCTCGAACTCCTTCGCTAGTGCCAACCTGGCTATGTGTTTCTCGTACTCGACCTCATTGTTTGAAGCTCAGAATAAAAACTAGAGCGCGTATTCTAGGTTCACCTTGCTAGGTCCGTAGAGCATTAACCCAATTCCGCTTCCACTCTGATTGGATGAGCCGGCCACAAGGAGTATCAAGAGATCCTCATCCCAACTCACAATTTCATGAGATGGAGCTGGCGTTGCACTGGTTGATGCCTCCGACGTGGTTGCGAGCTTAGTCACTTTAGGGGTCGGCGAGTCGATGGTACACTCGACAAGGAAGTCTACCAGAACCTATGCTTTGATCGCTGGTCGCAACTCATAACGGATGTCGTATTCATTGAGCTCTATTGCCCAATTCGCTAGTCTCCTTGAGACCTTAAGCTTTTGAAGGATTTGCCTCAGCGGTCAATCGGTCAGGACTACGATGGTATGGGCCTGGAAGTAGGGCCTTAGTTTTTGAGCTGCTAACACTAGCGCAAAGGCGAGCTTCTCTATGTCTAGGTACCGGGTCTCAGAAGCATGTAGGACTTTGCTCATGTAGTAGACAGGTCGTTGTGTCTTATGCACTTCTCATACTAGGACCGAGCTAACCACCTCATCACTTGCGGAGAGGTAAAGTTTGAGCTCGTCCCCGGTCTCGGGTTTGGTCAATAGGGGGCGAACTAAGGTATCTTTTCAGCTCGTCAAAGGCGAGCTGTTGTACAGAGGCGGAGTGGTTTGTCATTGAGTCAAGCTCCAAGGTGGTGACCTACTTTTTCTTCATGGCAAGCTGCTATGCCAGCTTCGAGGCGACCTACTTCTTCTAGGAGATTTACTTATCTTGTTTTTCTTGCTACTTGGTGGGTGTTGAATCCAACCAAAGATAAAAAGTCTTGCTCGAAGTGAATAATTTGTATATAGTGATGAGCAAGGTCGTCTCCATAGGGATTGGGTGGATTTATTTCCAAGTATACGAAGTAGGGGGTTGTTGAATTAAGGAAAATAAGATGAAATAAAAGAAAATAACAGAAAGCAAGGATCAAATCGATGGGAGATAGCTTTCGGTTGAAGGGACAAGTTCATCTTTGAATCTTATCATTGATCCTCGATGCAAGGATAAATTCATAT